AGAATGGTAATTAAATGCTGAGGTTTAGAGAGGTCAGTGATTACTTTCAGCATAGCTGACTAAGAAATATATCTGGAATTATATCTCTACACAGCCATAAAAGTAGCTTGTGACTATTGCAGGTCACTAACCTCTAAGAGATTTAATCTCTCCAATGGAAAAACTTGGGGAGATTATCTCTAAAATCCCTCCCAGGTCTAAAGTTTAAGGTGTTTACCATTAAGATTCTTTGGTACCATATATTGTTAAGTGATGAATTAGAGAATGACAATGTAGCATATGGGACCGAATCTATGAAGTTTTGAAACTACTCATTCTTAAGGAAACTACAATTAAACTTTATATTTAATGCTGCTTAAAAACACCTGTCCACTTGATGTATGCATGTGCAGTATAATTTTTTCCTTCTAGTCTAGTGAAAAAGCTAAAACCTGTAACTAACCACTTTGAAATGCTAGCCTTGTTTATTCCTTTATAAGCAGACAGAGGTCTCATTGAGGAAGGAAAACAGGTATCTTTATGCCATGTAACATGTAGTTGTGTTATTCCAAAATGAGGGAAGATTTAAGTTAGTTACTTGAAGACTTAGTGTTTAGTTATATGTCAGGCCTTTATGTCAGTGTAGTCACTATAGAAATAAAAAGCATAGTGTCCTAGTTTGTTCTTCATTGCTGTGACAAAATACTCTGACCACTACCAACTTGGGGAGGAAAGGGTTTATTTGTCTTACATCTCCCAGATCACAGTTCATCAGGGAGTCCAAGGTAGGAACTCAGGGCAGGAACCTGGAGGCAGGAGCTGGAGCACAGGCCATGGAGGAACGCTGCTTACTGGCTTGTTCCTCTGGCCCCTGCTCAGGCTGCTTTCTTATACAACACAGACCCACCTGCCCAGGGGTGGCACCACCCACAGTGGGCTGGGATTCACTCCATGGCCCCTTCAATCCTGGGGTCTTCACTGCAACTGAAGCTGCACTTTCACCTATGGTTTTTCCTGGTCTCTCAGAGTGCCAAGCCTCAGCTGCTCTCTGTGACCCCTTCATGCTATCAACACCAGAACTATGCAGGAGACTCTTACTCATTACCAAGTCCTGCTTCTAGCTTGAGATGGAGGCTTCGGTCCCCTCTGTGCGCTGACCCTGAGGAAATACCTCTCAGAAGACTTCACCTCAGTGATGCTGGTCTCTCCTTACTTACAGCTGATTTTTCAGCCCTAGCTAACCAGCATCAATTGTCCCAGTAAAGCAAAGGTTTTGCTTCAGGTTCTGGTCTCTTCTTAATCACAGCTGATTCTTCAGCCTCAGCCAATCAGAACCCAATCCAAAATCTCACGTGAACAGCCCTGATTGTCTCCATTTCCCTTTGAAGCTTCATAAGCCAGGCCTCCATCGTCTACAACTCTTCCAGCATAACTGTTCCAAGCTCCACAGCAACAAACTCTGAGCACACAATGGCTTTTCCAGCCCAAAGTTCCAAACACTTCCACAGTCCTCCCCAAAACACCAAGGTCAGTCTGTCACAGCAATATGCCACTCTCAGTACCAATCTCTGTCCTAGTTTGTTTCTTCATTGCTGCGACAAAACACTCTGACCACTACCAACTTGGGGAGGAAAGGGTTTATTCAGCTTACAACTCCCAGGTCAAAGTTCATCAGGGAGCCCAAGGTAGGAACTCAGGGCAGGAACCTGGAAGCAGGAGCTGGAGCACAGGCCATGGAGGAACGCTGCTTACTGGCTTGCTCCTCTGGCCCCTGCTCAGGCTGCTTCCTTATGCAACACAGGCCCACCTGCCCAGGGGTGGCACCACCCACAGTGGGCTGGGCCTTCCCACATCACTCATCAAGAAGAGGGCCCTGAGACATGGCCACAGGCCAGTCCAATAGAGGCAATTCCCTGATTGAGGCTCCCTCAACCCAGGTGTGTCAAGTTGACATTAAAGCTATCCAGCACGCATAGTCCCTGCTTAGCTCATGGTATAGTAGGAAGGCACTATTTTATAGTGTGATATATGGAAACTGTGAAACTGACCTGTAATTGATGTCTGTTTTGGCTTGCCCACCCATCACTATTTTTTTTTTTTTCTGAAGTGGTTCTTGGGTTCTTCTTTGGGAATTACTTGGTCTCTCATTCTATGTATTTTGAATGGAGCTGTGGGGGCATGATTTAAACCTTGCCAATTAGAACATTATACACTTTAGCTTAAAGTGATTGACTCAAGGACACAAACCATGGTCCAAGCCAGCCTGTTATAGTCAGAAGCAATTTTAAAATGTCTTGTTATGGAGTCCAGATTGGCTTCTATCTCACTAAACAGATCAGGCTTGTTTTGAACTCACAGCAATCCTCCTGCCTTAGCATCCCAGAGTGCCACCACGTGCACTAGTCAATTTTACAACAAAGCACAGTAACATTTAGGGTTCAATAGAGTTAGGCTATAGTTGGAAAATGGACTCTGAACAGGGGAAACTGAGAGATGAAGCTAAAATCATGGAGAGAAGAGTTTATAAAGATCCTTATATGCTACACTGAAGAATTTGGACTTTCTCCTGGAGAGATGGAAGGGCCATTAAGTGATTTTAACCAGAGGATTCACATATCACATTAATGCTTTAGAAAAATTAGTATGGTAGAGAAATGAATGAAGCACTAGGGAAAGATGAAACAGAAAGCAATGAATGAATGAAGGTGGCAGAAATTGTCCAAACCAGAGGTAATAAGGGATCTGGACCATTAGACAAGTAGTGGGGACAAGGAGAAGCGGCACAGTGGGGATGTTTGCCACCAGTTCTCGTGAGACATGTCTGAAAGAGTAACACAACAGCAACACCTCCTTGGAGGAATTATATTATGAATATATCTCAATTTTCAGTTAAAAAAGAGATGCCTTAAGACTGTGCATCTCCCGATTTTATATGCATATAAATCAACTTTGGATACTGTTAAGATTCAGGTTCTTGTTGAATAGTTCCTGGGTGAGATATAATGTTCTATACTTTGAACAAGCTCCCAGGTACTGTTGGTGCTATTGGCCTGCTGACATCACTTTGAATAGTATTTTACTTTTATTTTTTTGGTCTTTTTGAGACAGAGCCTTCCTGTAGCCCCAGTTGGCCTGGAACTCACTATGTAGACCAGGCTGGCCTTGACCTCACAGAGAGCCACCTGCCTCTGCCTCCTCAGTGCTGGGACTAAAGGCGTGAGCCAATACACCCTGAAAGGTTTAGTATTTTTTCAAGTAGGAATATATTATTCAAGTGACAAAGTCCAACAGGCAGGAGAAAAGGGGGTAGAGTTTAGGAAAGAAAAAAGGACTTGGGCTAGAGATATTTGGAGGTTATCTGGAGGTGATGATGCCAGGCTATGAGGCTAAAGGCCCAGCTAATATCTGGAGAAAAGAGAGAAAGAGGCGTGAGAATAGTTCATGCCTTGAACCAGCATTCAAGGGACAACTGAGGACAGGCTTAAGAAATTCATGCAGCAGATGAACCTGGGATGCCAAGTTTTCAAAGAGACATCTCCAGGTCCCTTATTATAGAAAGAATAGATTCTTATTGTTAGCTATTTAAGAAAATAGTTCTCTTAAATTTACAAAGAAAAAAATAAAAATGTCTCCAGGACTATTAACACATTTGGCCAATATTACTATTGTTGGATATTTAAGAAGTTAGCAATTTTAAATTTCCAAAACTTTTAAAGAATAATTACTATTACTGAGCATTATATTCCTGATACTATACTACTGGTTTCTTCATAACATGTTATCTCCTGTCCCCCCACAGGCTATCCTTCTGACCTAGTGGAAAATCCAATTTTGATCAAAATTAGTTCTCTACCACCCACCCAAGACCAGTTAGTTCACTTGGGGGAGGTCCAGGCTTGATCCATTGCTGACAACTTGATTGCTCTCTAGCCGACTTTCTTAGTACCTTGTTTTCCTGATTCAGTGCCAGCTGGAGAGTGAGGATCTTGCCATCCGTTGGACTCTCTGATGCTCAATCTTCACTCTCCCTAATGGTGTTACACGTGCATTCCTATTTAAGGTACTGCCACCTCCTTTACCAGTTAGGTTCCTGACAGTCACAGAACCTTCAACCCACACTTTCTGGTGTTCCATTTGGTTGCCCCTTACCTCACTCATGTAACGCCAAAGCCTCCAAGCACTCTTGGCTCTTTGAACACAGAATTACTTCAACTGGCCCAGGTGTTTTGAGGGCAAGGGAGCTTTTTACTTTGCCCTGGAGCTGGCCAAGTCTCAAAGAATGTCATTCAACCGTTCTCTGCCTCCTTTCACAGCACTGAGGAAGTATTACATTGTTTTGATATCCTTACAAATCTTTCGGTACATACATTGTTTATGGAGATTCCCTATAACTACTCCACGTACAATTCCCACTATACATGCTGAAGCTTGGATGAATATAGAAATTCAAGTTACAGACATTTAAGTAGCTGTGAGGCTGTAGACGAAGTGCCTTGGACTCTGGAGCAATAAAGGGCGTGGTATTATCACAGATCCTATAAAAATACTTTTCTCAAGGTCATGCATGAGTCAGTAAGAATACTCAAATTCAGAAATCACAGTATAGAAAGAGAGAGTTCTGTGTGCCTCAAATCAGGGGCTGGTGTTAGTTTAATCCTCACATCAACGCAGTCTCAATTTTACAAATAGCAACTGAGTTTAAAGTGAGTGTCCTGGTGACTTATTTAAGGCAACAAAGCCAGGACGATGCGTCTGGGGTCTCTATAAGGTTCTGTATCCATCCCACCAAAGTGAGGCGGTCTAATTTAATTGCGAAGAGTCAACTCCAGGCAAACCTCAACACTAAGGAGTTTCAATTTACCAGAAACATTAAAAAGGCGCATGAGCAGCGTAGCGCCCTCCACCCGGACACCCAGTCTCCTCACCGCGCATGCGCCCTCCCCACCCCCGTCCCCCTTCCCCCTTCCCCATAGTTCCCGCCACTTCCCGCCCCTTTCCCGCCCGGATGTCCTTTCAGTTTGGCCGGATGTTGTTGTGAGTCAGGGAGACACGTGAGGCCTCGCTACGTCATCCGCAGGCAAGCGCGGGGAACATGGCGGCGGGGCTAGTGAGCGGGAAGGTGAGTAGCGGCACCGGGAGGGGCCCGGTGGCTCCCGGCGGTGTGCTGCAGTTCGGGGCGGCTGCCGAGGGGGAGCGGGGTCCGAGGAGCGGCCCGGGGCGGCCTGCCGGAGCGCCAGGCGGGGTGACAGCTGTTCCCCAGAATGCCAGTGACCCCCGAGCGAGTCCCGGTCCTGCTCCGGGGCGGGTAGGCCTGGTTCTTGCCTGGCCCCGGAGCGGGGCGGCTGTTGCTCTTGTCGCCTTCCCCCAGCAGGGTCAGTTCCACCCAGCTCCTGTCTGCTCCCGTGACTCGGGCCCCTTCGCCGCCTTCGAGGAGCCGCCCTGGCTTGCCCTGGTGTGCGTTCCGGAGAAGGTGTCTAGTCACCTTCGGAGGAGCGAACGGATCCTCAGCGGTGGGTCGTGATGACAAACTGCCCAGTCGGTTGACGGCTGTGAGCACCAAGGTCTGCTTCCCCGGCGGGCCTGGATGGGGACGGCCTAGGCTTAGCTAGAAAAGCGTGTGTTAAAACATGCATTTCGTGGAAGTGTCGGGGCGTTTCTGTCGGGCTGTCTGTCGGAGGTTTGACAGTGACACCCTCCTAGTTGGTTAGGACCCAGCATTAGATTCCGGGGGGCATTTTGTTGTTCTATTGCCAGTTCAAATTCCGAGGGACAGCTTATGCGTAGGGTTATCGGCTTCATGACGTGCACCTGGCAGCATTCCCCAGTGCTGCGTTATTTCGCAGACGGCTGTGACCGACTGGTAATGACTCAGAACACTAAGGACTGCTCACTTGTTCAGATAGCGTCCTCTGTGTCTTCAGTTTTATGGATGATCTCCCTGCAGCCCCCCGCCCCCAATTTTGAATTATTTGACAGCGTTTTTGGCTTGGCCTTACGGAGTAGTAGATGAGGCCAGAATAACAGATGATAGTCTTTTCCTCATTGTTGAGCCGGTGTGACCTTGGATTTGGACAATTAATACCTGTACACGTTCATTATGTGCAGAATGGAAGTGATGCCAATCGCGGTGTTGAAGTGCTTAGGAGTACATGAGCTAAATACAATGCGTGTATATACTTACATGTGTTTACTCTTGTTTTTCTTAAAAAAATATTTATATTTACGTGGACGGGTGTTTTGCCTGGAACTGAAGTTTACGAACGTTTTGTTAGCGGTCATGTGGGTGCGGGGAATCGAACCCCGGTCCTCTCGAAGAATAAGTGTTCTTAACTCCTGAGCCATCTCTCCATCCCATAGTTTGCTCTTTTGAATAATAAGTTGGACATCTTTTTTTGGCTATTCATATCCTTGCCAGTTTTAGTCTTTTTATATTTGAGGTGAATGCTGATCATCTGCTCCTTGACTCATTACAGTGTAGAAAATTGTCCTATTGAATTTTCCATTTGGGCTGATCTAATCTAGCACTTTTCTAAGAACAGATCTTTATAAAGTTTCTGTTTTCCAGTTTGGACTGATTCTGAAAGAACCCTTGGTAAACAGGTGTGAAATGTAAGACAGCCTCTCTTGCTTTTTTCCTTGTGGTCACTACTTGTCATAGATCACCTTAAAATATTGGCTCGAATTAAAAGTTCACATCCATTCCTGCCACTCCACTGAAACTGTTCTCCCAAGCTCAGTGTGCCGTCTTTTCATATAATATCATGTCAGCAAAATGTGTGCAGCCCTTTCATAATATTACGATCAGCAAAATACATATAGCCCTCTCTCAGTAAGTTATGTTCTGGTTTAATGACATTATTTGATTGCATCTAGTTGGAGGCATCCTTCACTGGATTCTCTCTGTCTCTCTCTCTCTGTCTCTCTCTCTCTCTCTCTCTCTCTCTCTCTCTCTCTCTCTCTCGTGTTCGCTCGCGCGTGCGCATAAACATTGTGTCTTGCTTTGGAAAAACGTATGAGAAACCTTTACTTTGTTAAGGGATCCAAACTGATTAACTTGCCATAAAAAAAGATGTTACCTTTATGCTTCCCTACTTCCGTCTTTGTGTGTGTGTGTGTGTGTGTGTGTGTGTGTGTATACGTGGGGTATAGAAATATGTGTGGGTATGGGTGTGGGTGTGGTCAGGTTTTCTCTCCCCAGCTCCATAGTTCTGCTGAGATGGTGTGATCTAGTTCAACATTATAGTGGATTATTGCACTTCATTCTTCACCCTTTAGTCGAAATAATTGGCTTAGAAAAAGCAAGGCTGGCCGGGCGTGGTGGAGCACGCCTTTAAGCCCAGCACTTGGGAGGCAGAGGCAGGTGGATCTCTGTGAGTTCAAGGCCAGCCTGTCTACATAGTGAGTTCCAGGCCAGCTAGGGCTACAGAGAGACCCTGTCTCAAAAAGATGGAAAACAAAAAGCAAGGCTGACTATGACTGTGCTGGAAGTCTAGTGGCCTTTCTTTATCTTTAGGATAAATTCCAAACTCCTGTAAGTCTTTTAGATTGAAGGAATAACTGAAAGTGTCTTCTCATTCCAGAACCTGTGAAAATCAGGCACTTCCAAATCAAATTAGGTGGAATTGGCAGTGGCTAGAAGAGTGAAGGTTTGCACTCTTTTGAAGGATTTAGTAGAAGTTATTTGTAGAGATGAGAGGTGATAGGGTCCTTTAGCCATGGTATTCCTATAGACAAATACATACGGTGTTCAGGGAACAGGTAAAGTTTAGAGTGGGCACTGGCAGAGGTGGTGTGTGTTAGGAGATATAATGCGACCATGAAGGTAAAGGATATAGTCAGAAGGAATGTAAGTTGTTATGATATGATCAAATATACAGTTTATAAAGATGAGTTTTAGCACTGGTTATACATCACATATGTTACAGGGATTAGAGTATGACTAGGTTGGGAAGAGTAGAGACCAGAATGTGTTTGAGTAAACTACTCTAGAAATGATGAGGGGTCAGTTTCACACAAAAGCTGATAGATAAAGTACATAGGGTCAGGATGTAAAAGACTTTTAGGATAAATGATTGACTGAGCCGTCTTTGATATTGGCAGAATCAGAATAGCAGGGTTACATGGAATTGAACAGTTTAAGATGCCTGTGGCTATTGAAATGGGGACATTTAGGCGCTTAGGTATTTAATTGTGAAGCGCTTGGGAATATCTGGGCTCACACTGGCTTTCCCTGGGGTACTTTCTCTAGCTAACAGCTTCAATTGTTTACTGTAAACCAGATGTCTTTTAAGGAAACTGAATTTTTGAAGCCCTTTTTGATTGTCAATTATTTTGTAAAATGCACATAGTTGGTAAAGTTCGGGAATGAATATTAGTTATGCAGTAGGAATTGGGTTTCTTTATTTGGAGAGATTTAGGGCAAGAATTTTACCTTAAGCTTACTAGTAAGTATTTGGGTTGAATGTTTTTCATTTATCTTTAGTTTCTGAGAACAGTTTGTAACAGTATGAATACGTCAGTTGCTCTTCAGTATAATAACGGTATAACAATTACTACTGTGTTGGGCAAGTTATCTTTTTTTCAGCTTTGTCAGAAGGATGGCCTGAAATTTGATAATATGAAAGTGCATCTCTATCTGGAAAGTTGAATTTGTTTTAATTTTTGCTTCTTAATTGTAACTTTTGTGGCTAAGTTTGAGTTTATCACATTTGTTATGAAACATTTGCTGTAGTTCTCAGAGGTCCTTTATTTATTTCATTATTATTGTTACTGTTGTTATTATTTGAGACAGCATCTCATGAAGCCCAGGCTGGCCTTGAACTTGCTATATGGCCGACCATGACCTTGAATTCTGGATTTCCCAGCCTCAGCCTCCCAGTTGCTGGGATCAGTCTGTGCCACTGTTCAGGCTTCAGGACTCTTATAATAAATTACCTGATTACTGGGCTTACTTGTTTGCTAAAGGCTATTCCCATCATTAGGACATCATTACAAGTGTTATATATGTACTGTTTGGGCTCTCAGAAATCTTAAAAATTAAGCCGGGCATGGTGGCGCACGCCTTTAATCCCAGCACTCGGGAGGCAGAGGCATGCGGATCTCTGTGAGTTCAAGGTCAGCCTGGTCTACATAGTGAGTTCCAGGACAGCTGGGGCTACAGGGAGACCCTGTCTCAAAAAAGACCAAAAAGAAAATTATTGTGTGTTGTTTATGACACACATGTGAGTGGGGGTATGCACATTCCATGGCACATGTATGGAAATCAGAGGACAACTTTGGGGAGTTGGTTCTCTTCTTCCATCATGGGATCTGTGGCTCAAACTCAGGTCATCAAGTGTGGCAAGCATTTACCTGCTGAGCCATCTTACCAGCCCCATTTTAGTAAATCTTTATTTTAGGATTTGCATTTATTTAGTTTTATTTTTTTACTTATGTGTGTGTGTATGCCTCTGTGAGTTTATGTGCACTGCTTGCCTCCAGATACTCTTGGAGGTACTTCAGATCCCCTGGAACTGGAGTGACAGGCAGTTGTCAGTCACTGATACAGATGCTGGGATCCTGGGGATCCGAACCTGGGTCCTTTGCATTAAGCAATCTTAACAGCTGAGCTATCTCTCCAGCTCCAATAAAGTCTGAAGGAATGACTTTTCTGGAAATGCCTTCTGTTACAAATATGGACATGCTTCTTTAGAGAACGAAGAAGGGGGAACTGTGGACGTGAATTTTTGACAAATGACCAACTTTTTGGTTACAAGGTTAAGTAAATCTTATGTTTTTGAAATATTTAACACCATCTCAGCTTGGTTATAATGTAAAACAACTTTACTAGACTTTGGGTTCCTCTTGTAACCTAAACATAAAGCTTTAATCCCTCATGACCCTTTCCTTGCCTCTGGCCCAGAATGTGTGTATGTGTGCATATTGTGGGCATAGCAAGGACTGGAAACAGTGAATAGTGTGTGTGTGTGTGTGTGTGTGTGCGTGTGTGTGTGTGTGTGTTGTGAATATCAAAAGCTCTGCAAGCAGTGCTTATTAGTTGGAAGCAATGGGAATTATCCCAGTTGTGTTGCAAACAATAGATGGGATTAGATTGGTAACATCTGTTTGTCCTTGTGTATGCTGTTCTAGGCCAGTAGGGGTCAGAAAGGGCAAAATCTTTCTCTGATAAGGGTCCATTTTTCCTGTTCCATTTAATGCTGGATATACCGTTTCAATAAAAAAATAGCAAGACCTTTGTTTGAGAGCACAGTTCCTGTGGAAATCTCACGTTCCACTCGTGGCTCAAATGGATGCTAAGAGTCAGGCTCTCATTATTCAGTCATCATGTAATGTGGCATAGGACTACCACAAAAGTCTATTAAATATAGAATATTTGACCCTACTTGAGGCAGATAATATGAATTATACTTTGTTGGGTGCTAGATATTTTGTGTTCCTATAAGATACTGAGATTTGTCTTAGAAGACATTGAAGTTATGTGGAAACAGTTTGATACTTTTGGATTTTACTTAACTCATAAGATGGTATCAGTACAGATTTGTGTAGAACTAATTACATCCCACTGCTGAAGCAAGGCTGTTAGTATTCTATCCAGTGCTTTGAGAATTAGGAGGTTTCTGCACATTAACCTGAGCAGCTGTGTAAGCCTGCAGAGTGATTTCAGGTGGCTTTCCTCTCTTGGGTAATTTATTGGCACACATGCCCTTTAATACTAGAGGAAGACTACTGATCTCTGTGTATCTCTCTTCCTTGGTACTGTCCTACAAACTCTTCTGTCTTGGTAGTTGGTGTTCGCCCCTCTGTCTTCTCTCTGACACCTAGGTTTTCTCTCCCTTTGATAATAGATAGAAACTCTCAGGAGGAAGTTGTATTTTGCAATTGTTTTCTTTCTTTTCATGGTCTTCTCCTTTGTTGTCTAATGGGTAGCATCTCCCCCGTGAGAGTTTAAATCCAGTCTCTGTTACTCCAGCTTAGCCAGAAAGTTATTATAAGTTTCCTCCCCTTCTGCCCCTTTGCAGTTTGTGTTTGTGTGAGTGTGAGAGTGTGTATGATTAATACCTATCTCTTTTGTGTACCACCCCATGCCCACCTTCTGTGAAGTGTTTTGACTTTGTTATTACAAATGCCCAGGATGGCATTTCCCCTAGAAATCCTTCAGATTGGAGTACAAATATCACATAAGATGTTGGAACCACTTCATCAGTGTCAGTACTAATCTTAAGCTGATTGCTTTCTTTCATTTTTTTAGTATTCATTTGTGTTTTAATTTTTAATATTTATTACTTTTTATTTTATGTGTATGTGTTGCCTGTATGCATGTGAGTGCACCCGTATCTTGCAATTCTGGCATAGGTCAGAAGAGGGCGTCAGATCCCCTGGAACTCGAGTTAGGACGGTTAGCCACCTGTGTGTGCTGGAATTTGAATCCAGGTCCTTTGCAAGAGCAGTCAGTGCTCTTAACCATTGAGCCATCTCTCCAGCCCCCTAAGGTATTCATTTGTACAAATAAAACTTGGCCAGAATAGACCTGTCTCAACCCTGAATAGTGGAAGGACCTTCATCAATTCATTTAACTTCCTTGCAGTTTTCTTAGTTACAAGACAGGAGTGATAATATGTATCTGAGTTGTAAGGGTCTAATGCAGTAGTGTAAAATGTTTATTTTAAAATAATGTAGATATTACATAACATATGAAGCCATTTGGGCCTTCTTTTTACTTTGTTTTAACCCGAGTAAAGAGATTGAAAGCCTATTGCACTAAAAATCTTTCCTGAAATGAAATTCCTGATGTCAGTTCTCTGTGGCAAAATTTTTTTTCCATGTCAAAGTTTAGAGATAGCTTTTCAAGTGTTGTTTATTGACAAACTTAAGCAGCAAGTAGCCTGACTGAATGGTGCTTCTCAGGAATTAGTTCATTCTGGAGTCTTAATGAAGTATCTCTACAAGAAAGTTTTGTTGTATTTTTTCAGATGTTTGATACTGAACTCATAGCCTTGCAAGCACTCTGTCCTGAGCTACATTCCCAGACCTAATGTCAAAGTTTTATTTGGACTTCTGTTTTTGTATTTTGAACATTTTTAAGTAGTTGAGACTTGTAGAGTTGTGACTTTTGTGTTTAATAGCATATGAACTAAGAGATTAGAGTGAATCAACAAGTGCTATAGATAATAAATCATTCCCCTCAGAGTAGATTGAAAGACTAATAATATTCAAAGGAATAATTTAAACCAAGATGATGTAAAAGGGACTGTGCTTCTCATATAAGATGTTAGGAGTTCAGAAAGGAGATTATGGCCACATTGTTAAATTGTTGCTGCATTAGCTTAAAATGTCAAAGATGCTTAGAAACTGGTTTTTAGTCCAGAAGCAGCTTCATTTTCTGCATCTGGAATCTCATTTTATTTGAATAGAAATAATTTCAAAGTGTTATGTGAAACAAAAGAATTATTGGAGTTTAAAATCACATGCTTTCTAGTTTATGAATTTATAAAACAAGATGGCCAAAATAATTATTTGCAATTCCAGAATTGATTTTTTTCTAGGGAACCAACATGGAACATTTCTAGTAGTTTCTTTAGGTAGTAACTGTTGAGATTTAATGGATGAAGGTATCAGAAACTCTGAAGGTCACTCCTTTTGGTGTGTGTGTGATCCTGAGTACAGTCAGAGGCAGGTGGATCTCTCTGAAATCTAGGCCAGCCTGGTCTACATAGTGAGTTCCAGGGCATCTGCCAGCTGTGGCTACAGGGAGACCCTGTGTAAAACAAAAAAGACAAAAACTCATATTATTCCCTGTGTTTCCATAGCATACCAAAATAATATCTCATGAGAATATCCATTTTTGGGAATATGTAGAAAGCATCAGTTTTTTTATATTTCATCTGATCTTTCTTGTGGATATTTTCATGTGTTTTCAGTTTGAACCTGATGTTTACATTAAAATATTAAAATATTGTTGTTAGTTTTGTGTGGCTGGATACCAAACCCAGGGCTTTGTGCCTATATCACTAATCTATACCCCAGTTCCAAACTACATGTTTTGAGTTTAATTTACATATTGGTGCACATAGCAATTAACCTGACATCTTTGTTTATAAAGATGAACAAAATTGTGCTTTATCACTAATGTGAAAAACAAATTTTCGTGTGTATTGAAGAAAAATATACTTCTTGTTTACCTGTGTTTGAAATTTCCTTAAATCTGAGTGGTATGCTTTAAGTACAGGTTGAGTATTCCTAATCTGAAATGTCCCATAAACCTAAAACTTTTTCAGTGCTGAGGAGATGCTACAAATAGAAAATTCCCAACTTCATCTAACTATAGTCCAAATACAGGCACTTTAAACATATTCTATAAAATTACTTTTAGGGTCTGGAGAGATGGCTCACCAGTTAAGAACATGGGCTGCTCTTCCAGAACACCAGGTTTGATTCCCAGCACCCACATGGTGTCTAACAACCATCTGTAACTCCAGTTCCAGGGGATCTGGCATCCTCTTCTGGTCTCTGTAGACTTTACAACATAGGTGCACTTATATACATGCAGGCAAAACATAAAAATAATATAAAATGATAATAGAAATGAATTACCTTTAGACTATGTGTATAAGCTGTATGTAAAACATAATTGATTTTGTGTTTAGATTTGGGCTGTAGTCCTAAAATACCCTATTATGAATATGCAAATACTCATGAATCTGGAATACTTCTTCTCAATTAACCTGTGATACTTGTATATGAGATAATCAGACACTTGAACAGACATTTTAAGAAAACATGTCAGAATTTTTAACAAATGTTGAAATAAAGTGTGTGGTGCTGGGACTCAGTTGTTTACTATGCAAACATGAGTTCAGATCTCCATCACTAAGCTAAAAAGCTGGATGTGGTGGCATGTACCTGTAAGTGGTGGCATATACCTGTAATTTCAGCTCTGGGAAGGCAGAGATAGGAAGAACATGGAATTTGCTGGCCAGTCAGTCTAGCCAATCATTGAGCTCCAGATTCATTAAGAAAGTCTGTCTCACCTAGGCATGGTGGTACATGCTTTTAATCCCAGCACCTGGGGAAGCAGAAGTTATCTCTGAGAGTGTGAGGCCAGCTTGGACAATAGGGAGTTCCAGGCCAGCCATTATTAACATAGTAAGACTACCCCCTTTCCAAAAAGAAGAAGGAGGAGGAGGAGGGGGAGGGAGAGAGGGGTAGGAGGAGAAAAGAAACTGCTTCTTAAAGCAGAGAAACAATTGAGGAAGACACCTGAAGTAGGTTGGCCTCTGGTTTCTACGTGCCCGTACACCCTTGTACATGAGTACACACACACACACACACACACACACACACACACACACAGAGAGAGAGAGAGAGAGAGAGAGAGAGAGAGAGAGGAAAAAAGTGTGAGTCTAATTTTATTTTTACTATTCCAGATTATATATGAACAGGAAGGGGTATATATTCACTCGTCTTGTGGAAAGACCAATGACCAAGACAGCTTAATTTCAGGAATATTACGTGTTTTAGAAAAGGTAAGTTTCGGGTAAGGGATTTGTTTAATGATAATTTATGATGGTAGTTCTTCCGCTGTAGGAAAGTTTAAATTTCTTATATAAGATACTGTATAATTGATTTGTGGTTATAAATTCAATGTAGAAATGTTAGGAAGAAAATACTTTAAACTGATAAAACACAGGAAATATTTTAAAATTTATTATGTAAACATTGAAGTAATATAAAATTTTCATAATGAAAAGTAAGCAGAATTCAATGTCCTTAACATTTGTTGTTAAACAATGGAAATATTAGTGTATGTGAAATACTAATACTTAAGAGCTTAAAAGTTTGTTTTGGGTTCAGGGGATAAAAAATGGATTAAGAATACTATTTTGATGAACTCTTAAGTATGACTCATAAATGATCTTTTTCTCTAGGATGCTGAAGTAATAGTGGACTGGAGACCATTGGATGATGCACTGGATTCCTCTAGCATTCTCTATGCTGGAAAGGTATTTGATAATATTTGATTGAGAGAAGACTGTTTCTGTTTGTGCGTGTGTGCGTGTGCATGTGTGTTTGTGTGCGCGCACATGGCATATTTGCTACACTGCCTCTTGCAGGTTCTTTTCCTTCCCTCCAATAGCTCCTCTTTCTGGTTCATGTCACATGGATTTTCCCTGTTTCTCCTTTAACATCCCTTCTCTCCCTCTCATAGTCTCTGTTCTAGTTTCATCACATACACAGCTGAGCTCCCACTTCAGCTCTAGTTGTCCCAATTTTAGCTTGGGCTTTATCCTAATTTCTCAGTTCTTTACATGATCTGCCACTTCTGAGCTTTTGATGTTTATAAAGGACTGTAGAAGTTGGAGAGATGTGTGGGAGGATGATTCTGAGGTTGGTTCTTAGCTTTCCTCAGTATATGGAGATGGTTGTAGAGATGGTGGTGAGGGAGACGTTTTCTTTGCTTTATTTTTATTCTATGTGTATCTGTGTATTGTGTGCATGTATACAAGTATACCCGTGTCATTCAGTGCCCATGGAATGCAGAAAAAGGTGTCAAATCCCCTGGAACTGGAGTTACGGACAGTTGTTAGCTGCCATGTGAGTGCTGGGGTTTGAGCCTGGTGCTCTTAACCACTGAGCTATCTCTCTAGCTTTTTGATTTATTTTTTCTTTTATGTGTGTGAGTGTTATGCCTGCATGTGTGTAAGTGCACCTATGTCATGCAGTTCCTGAAAAGGACAGAAGAGGGTGTTGGATTCCTTGGAACTGGAGTTACTAATGGTTGTTATCTGCCATTTGGGTGCTGGGATTCGAACCAGGGTCTTTTTCAAGAACAGCCAGAGCTCTTCACTGCTGAGCTATCTCTCCAGCCCTGGTTTTCTTTCTTAACATTTCATTTGTTTGTTTGTTTATTTATTTATTTATTTATTTATTGTGTGTGTGTGTGTGTGTGTGTGTGTGTGTGTGTGTGTGCATGTGTGCATACATGGAGGCCAAAGGAAAACCTGTGGGAGTTGGTTCTGTTTTCCTACTATGTGAGTTCTGGGGATTGAACTCCAGTCATCAGCAAGTACCTTTACTGGCTTAGCCATCTCACTGGCCCCTATTGGTTGGTTTTTCTCTTTGTTTCTCAGTAAGTTGGTAGGAGTAGTTTTGTAGTTTGGATATTTCTCTTATTCCTGTCCAAGTTTAGAATCCTCATCTTACTTTAACTTATGTGTACTGTCTCATAGAGAAGTAGATTTTGATTTTATTTTCTTTAAAATTGAATGTTCTATAGAGCTATACATGTGAATATGTTGCTTTTAGCTAGTTTTTATTGTCATAAAACACACAACTAATTTTGGCCTAAGTAAATTACTATTGTTAACTGTTTTCCATAAATCTAAAAATCTGGAGGCTGGATGCTTTTTGTCTCTTGATTTCTCTTGTCATTTTTTTTAGACATCACAACTTCATTCAAAACAGGAAAATGAGGAAAAGGGATGAAGTTTTTATTATGGAAGCCAAAGCCTTTGCAGAACCCCTGAGTTGACATCTGTGTACATTTTGTTGGCAACTCTTAGAACAAAGAAGTAAAGCAAGCTATTCTTGTAATTTTGGTAGTAAAGATGAGCAAGGGAGAAAAAGACAGGCAATAGTTTTGTTGTCTGACATGGCTTATAGACTTCATTCATAGGAGTTTGGATGTTAGGAATTAGAATTTGCTAGTTTCAGACTTTATGTTAATTGTTTTAGGACTCCAGTTCAGTTGTAGAATGGACCCAGACCCCAAAAGAAAGAGCTCATCGAGGATCGGAACATCTGAACAGTTATGAAGCAGAATGGGACATGGTTAATACAATTTCATTTAAAAAGAAGCCACATACCAATGGAGGTATGAATTAAATCTTTTGAAATATGAAACTGATTTGCTACAGTGTACTAATAAAATAAAAGTACAAAGAAAATTCTTTAATACTTCTCAAATTAGGATGATCTTATACTTTAATATGTATATCATTTTGTTCTCTTTTCATCACTTTCTATTTTGTTGCTGTGACTTCAAACAAGAATTTAAAGATACTTGTTCTATTTTTTTTAGTTAGGAATGGCAAAATAAGCAACACTTTTAAAATTATTTTTTATGAGCCAAGTATGGTTAGTACATACTTCTAATCCCATCATGAGTTTTAAGGGCAGCCTGGCTGTGTCATGAGTTCAGGCCAGTGACACCCTATCTCAAAAGGAAAACAAAACAAGGGACACCATACACAGGTTTCTTGATCTAGTATTTTAAAATCATGTTGTTTCATCCTGAAGCACCAGGGGTAGATGGAGTATTCTCCTCAACCTTTCCATTTGAATGTCAGCATTTGCTGGCTCTTCTCAGCTCATTGCAGTTTCTTTTGCATATGTTGAGTTGCTACTCCCTTTTGTTATTTTAAATCTATATTTACTAGTTGGTGATTACAAAAAGAGTCAAGTTAACTGTCTGACATTATTATACATGCTAGTTTATGTAATAAAAATAGCTTATATACCTTAGAATTCATGTATTATACTAAATATCATCTAACTAGCACACTGGTGATGTGGCCAATCTGATTGTAATCTCATTTATTTTAATTTCATTTTTATGTGTATGAGTGTTTTGCCTGCATACATGTGAGTGCACGTTCTGTGCATGCAATTCCCATGGGGGCCAGAAGAGGGCACAGATCCCCTGGAACTGGACTTAGAGACAGTTGTTAGCTGCCATGTGGGTGGTGGGAACTGAGCCTGGGTCCTCTGCAAGAGCAGTCAGTGCTCTTAACTGCTGAGCCATTTCTCCAGACCCTTGTGATCTCACTTTAAAATGTTGAACATTTATATGCAGTTAAATGTGTTTTTTTCTCTCTCTCTCTTTTTTTTTAAATTAATTCCTTTGTGTTTTATAATGGAAAGTATATTTTATTTCTTAATGATTTGGCCTGAGTTTAAGAATGATCTATGTTTATCCAGTCAAGAAGATCCCAAAACCTTATGAGAGCATGCATTGTTTGTATTTATATATCACTGTTACTAAGTACAATTGATATTAATGTGTGTGGCCTATGGAATCATTCTCATGTACAATAGTAGTTACACTGTGTAAAAGAAGTTACTTTAGGAAGCAGTTGCAATTAAGAAGTAAATAGTATTTTATTTTGTTTTTTAATTAAAAAAAACTTTATTGAGCATTACATACATGCACATAAGGCGTTTTGATCAAATCCACCCCAATTCTCTCCCCTCTAACACCTCCCATATTTCCCCATCATTTTTTTCTGACTTCATGTACTCTTTCTTTCTTCCTTTCTGTCTTTCGTTCTTTCTTGGGCTTTTTGCTATTCTAACATTACCCCTCTGAACAGGTAACCCTAAAATATTTTAGGGATTAGATAAGAGCTCCCAAATACTTTTGTCATTTTTGGCCTTTGGAACAGAGTATGTTGCTAAGAGGCCCAAGGACATTTTGACTTTTAGCCAAGAAACTGGCTACTTTTCTTATAAATAGTATTTTATAAGCTTTTGCTATCAGGTCATGCGTGGCATATTTTTTGAGGGGCGTGGGAAGGTAAGGGATGGCATTTGGGTGTTCTTACTCTACTGAAAGGGGAGAGGTTCTTACCAGAACCAGAATGTAGAGAGAGATGAAACCCAGGATTTTAGTATCTGGGCTGCTGTAAAGTGATACTTAGCTTCTTTAGATTGTCATGTTTTAAGTTTGTGAAATGATGTTTTTGTTGCTTAATACTGTTAAATTCTTGAAAGGTGACAGGCCACAAGAATGAGCCAAAGAGTAAGTTTTCAGAATTTCTTCATCATTGCATAGAAGAGATACGTAATCTGGCAATAAAGATCTTGTTAGTGAGCCTTAGCTTTGGATACCCATTGAAGTAACCTGGAGAGATTAGGTTTAAAAACAAACAGAAAGTTGGACTCTGGAGGTTGGATATCACTGTTTTCCAAAAGATCTCCAATGTATGGTCAGAGTTTAGAACTATGCAGCTGTGCAGCTAAGCTGAGAATCACAATGCAAATACTGCTGATGTGATTGGTTCACAGTGACATAAAGTGAGGAGACTATTTTGTAATTGCTGTATGTTAAGGAAATAACTTCTTTCAGTATATGTGAGTTACACAAAATAATGAGTTTCCTTGTGACATTTTTTAAATATATATATATACACACACTTTTTACCCCCCTTTCCTTGGTTTCTTCTCTCTTTTATACTAGTTCTAAGAAGATAATTTCTAAGAAATTGCATTGCTTAAAAAGTTTATGAAAGGAGCCTGATATTATGGCTCATGCCTATAATCCCAGCACTCAGGAGGCAGAGGCAGGCAGAGCTCTGTGAGTTCAAGGCCAGCCTGGTCTACAAGAATTGCAGGACAGCTGGGGCTACAGAGAGACCCTATTGCAAAAAGCCAAAAAAAAAAAAAATTATGAAACATGTAAATGTTTCTGTAAGTTTTTTTTTTCAGAGGAAGTTTTTATTTTACTCTTTTTTACACATAGTTTTTGTGTTTTTTACTTTGTACTTTTTCTTTAAATTTAAAAAAATTTAATAACCACATGATTAGAAGAAGCATTTCATTACAGCTTTAACATATTCAGTAACATATTCCAGAGTAAGGATACATCTCTTTCAAAGGTGGCTGTAAATTTTTGCGTTCACAATTGAATTAATACAGTTATGCGGTATTGAACTTAATATAAGCCCTGTAAGATATAAAATTGAATGAGTTTTTACCCTTTAAAGAAGATCTCCATTTCAAGATATGCTGTTTCCTACATTTTTAGTGCTACTAACACATGTTTGCACATGTGTCTTTAATCTATGTATCTGATTATTACTAGTCACAGTTGGTTACACTCAGACCCTTAGTACCTGAGTATGGATATAAAGTTATCAGGTAGATTTCACTGGTAATGTTTATCACCTCTCCTGTTTAACATGAAGTCAATTTTTTAAAAAAAATTTAATAACTACATGACTAGAAGAAGCATTTCACTACAGCTTTAACATATTCAGTAACACACTCCATAGCAAGAGTACATCTCTTTCACAAGTGGCTGCACAGTTGAATTAATACAGATATACAATACTGAACTCAGTATAAGCCCTGTAAGACATAAAATTGAATGAGTTTTTAACCTTTTAAGAAGATCTCCATTTTATTTTAGAATATATTGTTCCTTGCAGAAAGACTCATTGTTTTTGCTACTAACACTGAGAGGCTGGGACATGCATCTCTAATCTGTATGTATCTGATTATTACTAGTGATACTCAGTTTCACTTGGATCCTAGGTGCCTGTATATGTCTATAAAGTCATCGGGTAGATTTCAATGGTAATGTTTATCACCTCTACCAATTAAGATGATGTATATTTCCATGCTTCCTCCTCAAATATAATACATTTTTTTAAATTTGTTGATTTTTTTTTTTGTGTGTGTATATCACACAGAACTTCTCAAACCATCTTATTCAACTATACACCCACTTCCCAGATGGCACCCTCCCATAGCCTCCCTCCCCCCGGCTAGAGCCCTTATACTCTGTTATCCCTGCTACTGTCTGATGTGTTGTCAGCAACCCCAGCCATTTCCCACTACTTGCCCTTCTGGTGAATCTAGTCAGCCTATCTAGAGTTCTTTGTTTTATGGGGGTCAGCTGTTCCTCATCTCACAGCAATCAGTTGTCAATATTCCTTTAGATAAGATTGGGGTCTGCTGTTCATTTTCCCAGTTCTATGCTGGGATACTATCTGGGAGTCCCTTTGGCCACCCTGACCAACAACTCAAAAGAAGGTATCGCATGTCTGGCATTGTTGCTTGTTATGTAGCCTTTAGCTATACATATGAACTCTTATGAAATTATATTGTC